TACAATTGTATTAGTGCATATATGACTTTTCATGTCCGTTAGTATTTGTTTTATATAGTTTGGTGCACTAGTGTTTGGTGCATAGATATTTATGATTGTCATCTCTTCCTCTTGGATTCTGTCCTTTCTTTATTCAATCAGATTCAGCCTAAAACATTTTGCATTTACAACTTATTTAATATTCATACCCTTCAGAGGAATGATTTAAGTCATCTCTCAGTAGAGAGAAGTGAACTTGCAATGATTTGTTCAACATTACAACAGGTAATTAGAAAATCCATTTCTGGACCTAGGAAAATCTGAACACATGTCTCAAGTTCTTTTTATTGCACCACCTGATACCTTGGAAATTAGGAAAAGTGTCCTGAGTAGTTGCTTTTCCTATGCTCTCATTTCTGTCAGAGGCATCACAGACACAGCTACATGTAGTAGCACACTTAAAAGTACTGTTCCATACTAATTTATAAAGTACAGAGTCTCAATACCAGACAGGTACCAATTTTTACAATAACTACCTATACATTTCTCCTTTTAAACATACCTTTCTTTACTGGGGTTAGTTTTAGTTCTCCTTTTTTGGCAGAAAGAAATGATAACTCTACACCACTGTTTTCATAATACCTAAATTTGAAAGTAAAAATTCTGAAATATATACCTAGTAAAACGATACACATTAAGGGGCTAGAATACAATAAGTTAAATGAATGGGCTTTGGAGTCAGCAAATGTGGGTTTCAGATGCCAGTCATGCCATATATTTGCTCTGATACCAGGGAAATTTTCTTAATTTCTTTCCAAGCTTTATTTCCCTAATTTACAAATTAAGGTGCATAAAAGCACTTGTCTTGTAGGGTGTGGGAGACTTCAAGACCAGCTCTTAGTACTAGGAGTAAAAATGACAATATTGGTAATATTACTTGTAAAACAGAGTAAGGAGTTCATCTGGAATCCCCATGTCTTTTCTTGGATACAGATCTATCTGGGTATGATGAATTGATAATGTTATCCTGAAGTATCTACAGGGGGTGGCAGTTTACAATAAGAGAATTAGTGAGGTAGATATGCATTAGTCTATGCATTGGATAGGGTGATCTGAAGATGGACAAAAACTTAAATTCATCTTTTTTTTTTTTTGGTACCGGGGATTGAACTTGGGTCCTTGCACTTGCACAGCAGGTGGCGAAACCACTGAGCTAAATCCCCA